CACTGTCCACTCTGCCTGTCAAAAAAAAAAAAAAAAAAAACCCACTGATTTATAGATGCATATGTGGTTGGGTGTATATGTTTGCATGTGTATGTTAGTGTGTTTCGTGAGATACAAATTGTTATGACCTAGAGAAACCACTGAGAGTATTCAGAACATTTAGCCCAAACTACTTAATAAAAAGTTGTATCCAGTGAAAGAAATCTAATCAGAAAATAAGCAAACTATGTAAACTGATGTTTCACTGCAGAAGATACGTAGATGGCAATCAGCAATGAAAAGATAGCAACATCATTAGCCAATAAGGGAATGCAAGTTAAACCATGATCAGCTATCACTATGTACCTGTCCTACTGGCTAAAATCAAAAGTAGTGATTAGTGAGAATACAGAGAAACTGGATGGATAATACTTTGCCAGGGAATATAAACTTGTATAACCACTCTGCACAACTATTTGGCCATTTCTGATACAACTAAGCATGCAACTGCCATATAACCTATCAATTGTACTCTTGTGCATTTATCACAGAAAAATTGAAACATATTTACATAAAAACCTATGCTGAATGTTAATAGTAGCCTTATTCACAATAGTGCCAGATTAGAAGCAACCCTGATGGTCTTCAGTAGGTTAATGTTTAAACTGCGGTGCATCTTCGCTCATACCAGTTTACCCAAAAAGGATAAAGGTTTGCTATCGCAGGGGGCATTCCAAAGAAAGTGCTCTGTAAGGAAAGTTAGAAAAGTGATTGGGTCTGGAGTGACAATAGGACAATGAGCCTTCTCTTCAGGGACTCTTGGGAAAGGTCATTAATCACCAGTGTGCAGCAGTTTGGTTAAATAGCCTTATTGCCTCAGCATCACTCTGGAAGAGAGAAGAATGTGGTTCTATCTATGGGATCTCATACAGTTTCCATGTACCATTTTCCAGCAATTTATTTCAATGCTGACATTTATCTGGATTTATTGTCAGATTCTACAACTTAAAGGGCTGAGACCCCCAAGACTACCCCCACTTCAGATGTCAATTGAAAGCCCAGGTTTTTCATATTCTGATCAGCTATAAATTGGGGATTCTTAAGACTCCCTCTTTGGATTCAATTATTTACTTAAATGGCTTACAAAAGTCCGGTAAATACACATGTTTACTGATTTATTAGAACAGATGCAATCCAGGGTGGGTATCTGGGTTAGCAATTGGGATGCCACTTGGGATGCTCGCGCCTCATCCTGCAGGGCCTGTGTTTGAGTCTTGTTTTGCTCCTGATTCCAGGTTCCTGCCGGTGCACACCCTGTGAGGCAGCAGGTGATAGCTCAAATAGTTGAGTCCCTGTCACCCATATGGGAAACCTGGGTTGAGTTCCTGGCTCCCAGCTTCACCCTGGCCTAGCCATGGCTGCTTTGGGCCTTTATGGAGTGAAAATAATGGATTGGAAATCTGACTTTCTCTCTCTTTTTAAACAAATAAATATAAACGAATGAAAAAAGCATATAATTCAAAAACAGCCAGAAGGAAGAGATCCATAGGGCAAGGCATGGCAGTGGAGTGGGCATGGAGCTTCCAAGTCCCCTTTGAGTGTTCCACCCTTCCAGAACCGTATTAGCCAACTCAGAGGCTTATCAAATCTCATGGCTCAAGAGTTGTTACAGAGTTTAGTATGCAGCCATCCCCCTTCCTTCTAGAATGTTGGTGAGTGAATCTGAATGTTCTAGCCTGATCACTGGTCTTCCTGGTCACCAGTCCCGTTTTGCCACTAAAGACTCCTCCTCAGTGATCTCCCTAGCATAAGCCCAGGCATGACCAAGAGAGGCTTCCTTTTACAGAATGTTCATTTTATTTGAAAGTTGTAGAGACAGAGATATATCACTTACTGGTTCACTTTTCTTTCTTTTTTTTAAGATGTACTTCTTGGGCCGGCGCCGCGGCTCACTAGGCTAATCCTCCGCCTTGCGGCGCCGGCACACCGGGTTCTAGTCCCGGTCGGGGCGCCGGATTCTGTCCCGGTTGCCCCTCTTCCAGGCCAGCCCTCTGCTGTGGCCAGGGAGTGCAGTGGAGGATGGCCCAGGTGCTTGGGCCCTGCACCCCATGGGAGACCAGGAAAAGCACCTGGCTCCTGGCTCCTGCCATCGGATCAGCGCGGTGCGCCGGCCGCAGCGCGCCGGCCGCGGCGGCCATTGGAGGGTGAACCAACGGCAAAGGAAGACCTTTCTCTCTGTCTCTCTCTCTCACTGTCACTCTGCTGTCAGATAAAAAAAAAAAAAAAAAAAGATGTACTTCTTTCCCAAATTGTATACCATTTACCCCTCCCCCCTTTCTTTCTCTTTCTTTCTTTCCTCTCTCTTTCTCTTTCTTTTTTTTTCTTTCTCTTTCTTTTCTTACTTTCTGTCTTCCTGTCTTTTTCTCTCAAGTTTTATTTATTTATCTGAAAGCAAAGTTAGAGATAGGCAGAGGCAGAGAGAGAGAAAGAAAGAGAAAGAGGTATTCCATCTGCTAATTCATTTCCCAAATGGCTGCAACAGCTGGAGCCAGGCCTATCCAAAGCCAGGAACCAGGAGCTTCTTCTGAGTCTCCCATGTGAGCACAGGGACCCAAGGACTTGGGCCATCCTCTACTGATTTCCCAGGCCTCAGCAGAGAGCTAGATTGGAACTAGAGCAGTTGGGACTCCAACCAGCAACCATATGAGATACTGATACCGAAGGTGGTGTCTTTACTCACTACGCCACAGTGCTGGCCCCTCACTTTTCTTTTAACTTTTTTGGAAGATTTTAAAAAATGTTTCATTTTATTTTATTTCAAAGGCAGAATTACAGAGAGAGAAGGAGAGAGAGAGAGAGAGAGAGAGATTGATTGATTGATTCCATATGCCTGTTCACTCCCCAAATGGCTACAATGGTCAGGGATGAGCCAGACCAAAGTCAGGAGCCAGAAGCTTCTTCCAGGTCTGCCTGGAATAGTGGTGTAGGGACCCAAGGAGTTGGACCATCGACTGCTGGTTTCCCAGGTACATTAGCAGAGAGCTAGATGGGAAGTGGAGCATCTGGGACTTGATCTGGCACCCAAATAGGATACCGGCACTGCAGGCATTGGCTTAACCCACTATGCCACAGCTCTGGCTCCTAAGGGGCTCGTATGAAGAACTAAAGGCCTTCCTGTCACTCAGGAGATTCCAGACTCTCTTAATTTGTTCATTCATTCTTTTAAAAATATTTACTTATTTGAAAGGCAAAGTTAAAGAGAGGAAGAGACAAAGAAAGTGAGAGAGAGAGAAAAAGAGAGAGGTCTGCTGGTTTACCCATCAAATTGCTGCAATGGCTTGGGCTATGCCAGGCCAAAGCCAGGAGCCTGGAATTCCATGCAGGTCTCTCACTTGGGTGGCAGAGGCCCAGAAGATACTTTCTTACTATACCATGTGGGTATGTAATTAAATGAAACTGCAGAGACTTATTGAGTGTGTGCTGTGTTGTGTGCGTGTCAGTGTGCCTGTGCATGCACCAAAATTCGATTTGAGTTCTAGGGACTGCCTTCATGTTTCATCCCAGTAAAGCCTCCTGAGAACACCGATGTCACTCGTGTGAGAATTATTCCCGTTTTGCAGACGAGGAAAGGAAGGATTGGAAAAAAAAATGACTTGCCTGCAGTCACACGCGTAGAGTAATAGTATTTTTAATTGCTAATTGCTATTATTACGTTGAATAGTCATTTATTAGGTGAATTAAGAATAAAAATTATTTACCTTCATTTATTCCTTCTCTGAAAGTCTTCCTTTTTTAAAACTTTTTATTTGTTATACAAGTTTCATGTATTTCATATATACAAATTTAGGAACATAGTGATACTTCTCCCCCTACCCTCCCACCTGCTCACACTCCAGTCCTTATTCCTCCTCTCTCTCCTATTCCCACTCTTAATTCTTACAAAGATCTATTATCAGTTTACTTAATTATTGAAAGGTTAACCCTAAATTAAATAAAGAGTTATAGTACGAAGAAAATAATATGGAGGAAAAACCCACTGTTTCTGGACAGAAGAGACAAGGGCTGTAAACAATCATCAAATCTCAAAATGCCCTTTTCACTGAATACATTACATTTTAGGTTCTCTGTTATCCCAGATTAGGGAAGACGTCGGGTATCTGTCTTTTTTGGACTGGCTGATTTCAGTAATTATAATGGTTTCCAGTTGCATCCAACAGAGTCTTGAGAGTAGGGTCTTCTGCCCTTAAAAACCATGGCATGTCCAGCTCATCATATACAGATCTGCGCAAACCATTGTCTAAGAAGGGGCACTTGCAGCAAGCAGGATAGGAAAGGAAACCAACAGGATATTTTCTGAGCCTGTTTTAAGCTGCTGGTTTGAATGACAGAAAAATTAAAGACCAGCTGTGTCAGGAAATCCTGAACTAAAGTGAAAGGGGATCACTTTTCAGAATCTCTGTGAAGTCAAAGGCAGACTGATTTCTCTGGCCTTATCAGAACCTTCCTGGAAACAAAGTTAACTCCACTCCCTCCGGCAGAGAAAATGTGTGTAAACAGAGTATACACTGGCCAGTCACACCATACTCAGCCTGCTGTCCCCTCCTGGGCTGGTCTCAGCAGCCCACACCCAGGGACCACGTGTCAAGCAGGGGCAGACAGGACAGGAACCCAAACCTTGGAGCAGGTGACTCCAAAGTGCCTCTACCTCATCCTTTCTTGTTTCTCTGAATAGAACCCATGAAGAAGACCAATAGGTAACAGAGCAGCCATTGTTTAAAAACAAAATGCTAATAAAGCAGCAATTATACAACAAAGTGGGCAAGGGAGTAAAATCTAAGAGCTATATTACTAAAATAATGATTGACACAAGAAGAGCTACAACTGGAAATGTCATAGATTTATAATTTCATGTACTGAACATGATGTACTTGACACTAAGTATTTTGTATGGATTGTGTTCTATAATGTGCTCAACAATCCACAAGGTGTACACTGATTTTTTTTTTTTGTACTTAACCCAGGAGAAATAAAGACACAGAGAGAAATTAAGTCACTTCTTGAGGCCACACAGCACAGGAGGCAGCCAGAATTCGAATCCATGTAAGTTGACTTTAAATACCGCAGTCTCAGCCACAGTCTGCTGCCAACTCCAACAGCACTGGCGATGTCTGAGAACAGCATCCTCCTCCCAGATGTGCCGGGAAGATTGTGGTTTCTTCCCAGCTCGTGCGGCAGCCAGACTTCTCAGAATGCTGAATTCGTGTGTTTCGTAAACTCTAGTGGTATGATCATTTAAATTCCCTAAAATCAAACTTTAGTCACTCTTAATAACTCAGTAAATTATTGGTAAGGAGCCCCTTCACAAAAGTAAATATTGAAAATCAATGGAATTCAGCAGCATTCTGAGGATCAAAATCACTTACATCTTATGTGCACTGAGCATCAGGGAAGTTTTAGGAGCGCAGACTATAATTCAAGAAATCTAGGGAAATATTGACATACAGGACCCAAAGCGCTGCCAGACAGCTTATTTCCTCCAAACTCTCTCTGGTGAGAACCCTCAAGATTGGTTAAAAAAGCTCTTGAGACCTTTTTGTTCCAGCCAAGAATCTGTATGAATTTTCTCAGCTTAGGAAAACAAGGCCGTGTACTGCATTGCTGAGTGCAGTGGTCAGTGTCTCTAGGGACTCCATTCGGGACCACAGCCTGTGACTGTTTGGGTTCCCAACTGCAGACCAATAGCCTCTGAATTTGCATGCCTGGAAAAGGGCTAGGAACAATCTCTCACCAACAACTTAATCACATTTTCTCCACGGCCTGGAGAGACCCTTGTGGCATACAATATTTAAATAGAAATGATTTCAGGCTCTTGTTAGGAGAGGGTTTCAGTAATTAAAGAAAATAGGAATTCTATTCAGATTCAACATTTCCTATTTGTAATTATCCTCTTGAAGTCCCTTTGTAATTATTTTTTTTCAAAAAAAAGACCTTCTGTATTAGCATATTCTATCTAAATTATTTAATTAGATGGTGTTTTGCACAAATTAATGATGAATAAGTTTCCTATGTAACCCTCAAAGAAGACTATTTTGTGCTTTGATTCATCAGTGGAGAGGGTACCAAAAACTAGGGAGATAGACTGGAGTGTACAGATATTGTCAGGTCATGATTCGAACTTCACATTCATGCTTTAGGTTTCTCTGTCTTATACAATGGCCAAACACCAAATTCACCACTTTGCTCTGTGCCAGTTGCCCTAGCCTACTCACTGATCCATTGACCTTTAGTGTGCTAGACAATTGCAAGGAACTGAGGCATAAATAGCAAATAAGGCAAGTATCACAGCTTTTACAGGCTTAGTTTTATGGACAAACATTAAATAATTATACAAATGAGTGCAGTAGTCCGTCCTTATCTACAGTTTTATTTATTTTTTTAAAAATTTGGAAGATAGAGTTAGACAGTGAGAGAGAGAGAGAAAGGTCTTCCTTCCTTTGGTTCACCCCTCAAATGGCTGCTACGGCCAGAGATACGCCAATCTGAAGCCAGGAGCCAGGTGCTTCTTCCTGCTCTTCCACTTGGGTGCAGGCACCCAAGCACTTGGGCCATCCTCCACTGCCTTCCCAGGCCACAGCAGAGAGCTGGCCTGGAAGAGGAGCAGCTGGGACTAGAACCCGGCGCCCATATGGGAGGCAGGAGCCGCAGGCGGAGGATTAACCAAGTGAGCCACAGCACTGGCCCCCTATCTATAGTTTTTGCTTTGAGGTTTTAGTTACATGCAATCAGCCATATTCTGAAAATATTAAGTGGAAACTTCAAGAAGTAAGCAATTCATAAGTTTTAGATTGAGCACTGTTCAGTGTAGCTTGATGAAATTGCTCTTTCCTGGTCTGTCTTGCCTGGAACGTGAATCATCTTGTCCAGTGAATCCACACTGTATATACTACCTGCCTATTCATCACTTAGAAGCCAACTTAGTTATCAGACTATAATGATACCATAGTTCTTGTGTTCAGGTAACCCTTATTTTACTAAATAGTGGCCTTGAAGCACAAGAATAGTGATGCTGGCATTCAACTATGCCAAAGAGAAGCTGGAATCTGCTAAAAATGAAAAGGTGAAAGTTCTCAACTCAAGGAAATAAGACATATGCTGAGGTTACTAAGATTTATGGTGAGTTAATAATATCTTACTGTGCTTGATTTATAAAGTAAGTTTTATCATAGGTATTTAGGTGCAGGAACATACTGTATATAGGGTTCAGTGCTATCCCGAGTTTCAGCTGTCCAGTAGGGATCTTAGAATGTATTCCACATGGATATAGGGAGAATGTCGTATTCTCTTAGAAGACTGAAGTTTTCAGACTCTAGTATTGGAACTTACGCTGCATTGCTTGTTTTTGGATGAATCACTGGGTGTGTGGCACTTGATTTTCTGTTTCTTCTGCTTTTTCTAGGAACAAATGAACACACTCAAGGCCTGTCATCGGGATGGTCACGTGTTCTATTGATGAAATCATGTGTGTTCACTCCTGAGGAAACCTCTCAGCATTCCCATTTTTCTAATGTATATGAAATAAAGACACCTGATCACTAAAGCTTAGTCATAGAACCCTGGAGCCACGATGGTTGCTGATGGACTCTCACCCACTTGAAGGGTCTATAGATTTCACTTTCATTGATGAAATGCAATAGATAATTTGGTGTTTGCTAGGAAGCACTTGGGTAAAGTGGCAAGACCCTTATAAAGGGAGTGTGGGGCTGAGAGAGGAGGCTAAAGTTGATCCACAGTATTACACAGCTGAAAGCTACTGTAGGGCCTTTCAGCCAAGTCCGTCTGATATAAACATTATTACGAGTTGGCAGCCCTGGGTTCAGGTCACAGGTCATGACTGACAGGCTATGTCTTTGGGAAAATCCTTTAAACCTCTTAGACTCAGTTTTAAAACCTATGCAGTGACTCTCTCAAGAGGAGTGGATGCCATCAACTGGAGCTGAGATGTTTGATAATAGACACCCAGTCCCAAGTTGTGGTGTTAGCAGCGCCACAGTCTACCTTTCTGACATGTCTTGACAGTATGTGGTTCCATTTCCAATGTCATCTCCTGGTCTAGAATGGCTGCTGGAAATTAAGTCCTCTTCACCAGCAGGAAAGAGAAAGGGAAAAGATAAAAAGATCACATCCCACTGGAGAGTCAGCTCCTTTGTAGCTAATATGCCTAAGTATGCATAGTGGACACCGAGAAGACTAGATAGGTTCATGGCTGCATCCCAAAACAAGTGTTCTGTTAGTAAGGAAGCGTGGTGATGGTGGTGTTGATGAGGATAGATTCTGGATAGACTACAGATAATTTTCTGGGCAGTGATCTGGCCTGGATGGGGACAAGAAGTAGTCATCAAGGGGTCAGAGTTGGGGGAGTTGTCCAAGAGAAGTTGTGTTGTTTTTTTCTACAGCAACTTCGTGTCTTGATTTTTTATTCTGTCAGTTAAACATGAGCATGTTATGCCTGCAGAAAAGGGACTTTTGCAAGGCTCTGTGTGCTCCAGTGTGGAAGATGGGAGGAGGTTTAAACAGGAAAACAACCCAGCTGGATGCTGGGCACGTACAATAGATAACTATTGGGTTGTGGGCAACAGGCAAGGTGCTCTGAGCAGTAATTCTCATCTTTCTTTTTCTTTTATGGACACAAGGCCACGGCAAGTCCTTCACAGTGATTGTTGTTTTACTACCAGGTTTCTGAGTGGCTGACTTGTGGGAATTTTTGAATAGAATGTTTCTTGCCATTTGTCCTATGTGGAAGATGAGACTGGGACAAGATAGTGGGACAAGATAGTGGGACAAGTGTTAGTTGGGAAATTTTTGCTATAAGGGCTCAAGATCTTCCCCACTTCCTTCTTTTTTATCTTCATACCTAGTTGATAACATTGATAGTTTTTTGTTTTTCTTTCAATTGTTGCCTATGTTCATCCTTTCCTCTTGATCACATTGCTAATGGGTCTGTATTTCTGTCTTACCAATCTTCTAACTAACCTCCCACACTCATCCTGACCAAGCTGTCCAATCTATAGGACAGAGAGCTCTTCATTAAATATATTTTTCATTCTATTCCCTACTGGCTCAAAATTCTTAGACTATTTCCTCTTTTCTTGGCATGAAATTATGCATTTATTCATAGGGATAACAGCGACAATTGTTGGGGGTAAAAGTACAGATTACTCAGAAGATTGTTAGGTGCTTGGACTTTGTTTTCTATGTTGATGAAAAAATAATTAATAGTTAACATTTGTTCCTAAAGAAATAGAATATTTTTCTGTTCTGTACCACATGCAGCTTATGTTACACATATCTTGTTGTATATTCCTGTCAGCTGATGTGCAGTTATGTGTGTTTCTTCTTGGCATTTTGGTGGGTACATACTCCTCCTCCTCATAGTATACTTCTTCCTTCCTTCATTTACTTCTTATTCTAATGAGTGTTGGAGAGTTGCTTTTATTTTATTTTATTTTTTTTTATTTTTTGACAGGCAGAGTGGACAGTGAGAGAGAGAGAGACAGAGAGAAAGGTCTTCCTTTGCCATTGGTTCACCCTCCAATGGCCGCCACGGCCGGTGCGCTGCAGCCAGTGCACCGCACTGATCCGAAGGATGGAGCCAGGTGCTTCTCCTGGTCTCCCATGGGGTGCAGGGCCCAAGCACTTGGGCCATCCTCCACTGCACTCCCAGGCCACAGCAGAGAGCTGGCCTGGAAGAGAGGCAATCGGGACAGGATCCGGCCCTTCAACCGGGACTAGAACCCGGTGTGCCGGCACCGCTAGGCGGAGGATTGCCTAGTGAGCCGCGGCGCTGGCCGGAGAGTTGTTTTTTAAGAAGTTTCTGCCCAGCAGGCATTGTGGTAGCTGCAGAATTTACACTTGTATTTCAGTTGTAATGCTATGACCCCGGTTGATGTGGTCTACATTCACACCTGCATCATACTTAGCTAAATTCTACCATGTATCGAGTCCCCATTGTAGTTGAACTATTACTAGCAAGTAATCCCTCCAGCCTACATGTATTGATTCTGAATTTCTAGAGGCATGTGCTACAAGTGTAGTCAGAGCTGTTTCAGAAACCCAACTCAAGTCTAAAGTATAAACTTCCATAACTAAATGTGGGAAGGTCAGAAACCAATCCTTTGAGTGATTTGAACTAAGGAACTAGAAATCTCTTGGGGCTCTCTCTCTGTTTTCTTCTTTTCATTTCTGTATTTTCTTCTCCCTTCCTGCTTGTCTTCCTTCACTCCCAGAGCACACTAACGGGGTACTGGATACAGTTGAAATATGATCTATATAAGCTTTTGGTTTACAGTCACATGGCTGTGTAATCAAAGAAAAGGATCCCAGGGAAGGGTAATGATCAGCCCAGAACCGATCTCTATGGACTGTTAATCAAAGGAAAAGAGTTGACAGAAATAGTAGCCCTTGCAAAAGTGACCCCCTCCCCCCAAATTAACCTACTCTTATCTTGGGAAAGGTAAAGAATCTTGTTTTGGTTATTCACAATCCTTTGGTGCCAATTATAGCCTGCAGCTCAAAATGAAATCCCTGAGGACAGCAACCAGAATTCAAATTCTGTTAGATCGGGTCTAGTGCTGATTTGAGTGGGACTTACTAGACTTACTCATTGTAAGGAAAGAGATGGATCATGAGGGGTCACTGGTGTCTCATTCGAGGATCACAGAGTTTTGGGAGGCCATGTCACAGGGTCTTCTTTTTTTATTTAGGTAAAATTTATGTTTTTTATTAATATAGAAAGAACAGATTTCATGTATTTCATAGATCCAGTTCTAAGAAGATAACCATACATCCCTCTCCCCACTGTTCTTCCTCAAAAACCCCCTACTTCCCTCCCTTTTCATTAATTTTTGCAAAGGCCCAATTTTAACCCATTCTATAATCACAGACTTAATTCACCACTAGCCATAGTAATCAACAAATAAATCATAGGAATACCACAGTTCCACAGAGTATAAACAAGGGCTAAAAATGACAAATCACAAGATGTCTGTTTCATTCCTATACATCTGTTTATTTTCCATATTAACTGCCACGTATTAGAAAAAATGTAAGATAGTTGTCTTTTTGAGATTGGATTGTTTCACTAAGCATAATGGTTTCTAGTTGCATCTATTTTGTTGCAAAAGATAGGCTTTCATTCTTTTTTATGACTGAATAATAGTGCATATATACCACATTTCCTTTATCTAGTCATAAGTTGATATCTGAGTTGATCCCATATCCTTGCTATTGTGAATTGAGCTGCAATAAACTTGGGGGTATAGTTAACTCTTTCATATGCTGATTTAATTTCATTTGGGTAAATTCCCAGGAATGGGATAGCTGGGTTATGTGGTAGATCAATTTTCAAATTTCTGAGGAATCTCCATACTGTCTTCCATAATGGTTTTTCAAGTTTATATTCCCACATCCTCAGCAGTATTTATTGTTTTTGAATTTGTGATTGATAGCCATTCTAACTGGGGTGAGATAAAACTTCATTGTGGTTTTGATTTGCATTCCCTGATGGTTAGTGATCCTGAATATCTTTTCATGTGTCTGATGGCAACTTGAATTTCATTCTTTGAAAACTGCTTGTTCACTTCCTTTGTCCATTTTTAAAAAGTATTGTTTGTTTTGTTGTTGAGTTTCTTGAGCGCTTTGTATATCTGATATTAATCCTTTATCAGTTGCATAGTTTGAAAATATTTTTTCTCATTCTGTCAGTTGCCTCTTTACTTTGTTGAGTATTTCCTTTGCAGTGGAGAGACTTCTTAGCTTGATGTAATCCCATTTGTCTATTTTGCTTCTTATTGCTTGTGCTTCTGGGGTGTTTTCTAAGAAGTCTTTGCCTATGCCAATGTCTGGTAGGGTTTCCCTGATGTTTTTCTCTAGTAATTTGATGATATCAGGTCACAGATTTAGATCCTTGATCTATTTTGAGTTGCCTTTTTTTTTTTTTTTTTTTTGATAGGCAGAGTGGACAGTGAGAGAGAGAGAGACAGAGAGAAAGGTCTTCCTTTGCCGTTGGTTCACCCCCCAATGGCTGCCGCGGCCGGCACGCTGCGGTTGGCGCACTGCGCTGATCCGATGGCAGGAGCCAGGTACTTATCCTGGTCTCCCATGGGGTGCAGGGCCCAAGCACTTGGGCCATCCTCCACTGCACTCCCTGGCCACAGCAGAGAGCTGGCCTGGAAGAGGGGCAACCGGGACAGGATCCGGCACCCTAACCGGGACTAGAACCCGGTGTGCTGGCGCCGCAAGGCGGAGGATTAGCCTAGGGAGCCGCAGCGCCGGCCTTGAGTTGCTTTTTGTATAACATGTAAGGTAGGGATCTTGTTTCATCTTCTGCATTCATGGATCCAATTTTCCCAGCATCATTTGTGGAAGAGACTGTCCTTTCTCCAGGGACTGATTTTAGCTTGTTTGTCAAAGATCAGTTGGTTGTAGGTGCATAGATAGATTTTCTTGAGTTGCTGTTCTGTTCCACCAGTCTATATGTCTATTTCTGTGCCAGTATCATAATACTGTGCCAGTATTATAACCGCCCTGTAGTATGTCTTGAAATCTGGTATTGTGATGTCTCTTGCTTTGTTTTTGATACATAAGATTGCTTTAGCTAGTTGAGGTTTCTTGTGTTTGCATGTGAATCTTAGCTTCATTCCATTGTGGTCAAAGAAGATGCATGATATGATTTAGATTCCTTCAAATTTTCTAAGACTTGCTTTATGGCCTAGCATATGGTCTATCCTAGAGGAAGTTCCATGCACTAGTGAGAAGAATGTGTATTCTGCAGCTGTAGGATGAAAGCTCTCTGTATGTAGCTATCTGTCGATTAACTACTGTTTAACAGATGGGATACCAGCGCTGCAACCTAGGGCTTTAACACACTATGCCACAGTGCCAGCCCCTGAATCTTGTTTCTATAGTTATTAACTTTGATATCATGATAAATTATTTTGTCTACCTCAGTTTCCTCAACAGTGAATCAGAGATAACCTTTGTAAGCACCAAATAACTTGACCAATTACAGTGGACATAGGCCATAACACCTGAGCAGTTGCTGAAGGACCTCTGCTAATTCTTTCACTGCTAAACAAGTGGAGGTACAGAGAGCCCTAGGGAGGGGTGATTGGAGTGTCTGAGGATTCAAGTATTGAATTTTTTACTGCCACTCATTATTTCAATATGTTAAAACAACTGGTACTGCTAAATTTTTTGGATTGGCTAAATACTAGCTCAAGGAATTGCATTTCTCTCTTGTCAGGGACATCAGTTACTGTTGTGAAAGCCATGTAGTGCCCAACGCCAGGAGCATAATTTCTCTGAGTCATTGTAGATGTGCAGAGTGTAATGACAATTTTCCAGCAGAGAGCAGTAAAGGATCTCTGGGAAAGAGTGCCTTCTCTAATTTGTAGTACATTGCCACATGGGTTAGTGGAGGGACTAGCTGCTGTGAAGATAAAATGAAATAATCCATCCTGTAAGCTTAGAATAATGCAGGTGTATAGTAGGACCTCTGTGTAAGTTGTATTCCATAGAAATGAAGTGATACTGACTCACTGCCAGCATTCCAAAAAGGAGTTACTCATCACTCAGCTTCAAATTTGCTGCACCACATAGTGAGCTGTGTACGATGAATTAACCCTTAAAAAATTAGTTCTGTCTTTATCTTTCCCCCAAGCCATGCAAAATCTCAAACATCAGAAGAGTTGACAGAATTATATGTTGAACATCCAGGTGCCCATAATGTAAATCTTAAAATCAACATTTTGCTGTATTT